CATGGCAATCTTAAACTTCTCTAATTTTCTTTACTATTTATGTGAAAAAAGTTTCCGATATTACTTTAGATAACTTTATCTAATGTTTATCGAAACGACATCGTTTTGAGGTTGAAAAATTAAAAAATTAGAGTGATAAAGACTATTATAACCCTGAAATAAATTAAAATTATAAAAATACCATGATTTCTGTTCCAAAACGACGTCGTTTTGATGAACATTAGATAAAGTTATCTAAAATAACATTAGAAAAAACAAATCCTATATTTATCTACCTTTTTCGAAAAGATCAATTAAGACGATTGTTCATATCTCAACCAATAAGTTAATTTGACAAGTCATAATCTGTTCAAGTAATTAAAATGACACCTTCTTTCATGGAACTATAAAACTTGATATTACCAGTTACAATATATTGTTAATTTTAAATTAAGGAAAAGTATTTTTCGAGTTATAGGAGATAAAGTTATTGAACTTAAAATGATGTCGTTTTGGATTATAAAATTAAAAAAATTATAATGATAAATACTATATAACTCTGCAATATATTAAAATTACAAAAATACCTTGATTTCTGTCCTAAAATGACATCGTTTTGAATTAATCAGAGACAACTTATCTCTATTGACCTGATAAATCATTTACTCTTAAACTAAAATAGGATGTAATGAGTGAATTTATAATGTTTTCACTATGGCATATATTAAGTAATATAGTTTTATTTCCCTACCAAATAATTTTTGCATCACTATCACTATCACTGGTTAAACTCAAATATGACCTTAAGCTTTACTAGTTTCTTTGCCGCCTAAACCTAAGTCACGTGTGGCAGATGTGGAGGTCCTTCAACTACAATGCCTTGCGGCTGTGTATGGCGTTTCTCATCTCAACTTTTGACTCTCAGCTAACCTGTGCCTGAAGGTTATCAATTTTCACATTTTATTATTATTATTATTTTATAAAATAATTTAGTTTTAATGTTATTTTAGTCACTTAAGATTATCAAATTCAATGAATTACAAGGAGGTTGATGAAGGCTTACTTTAACAAGAAAGAGAATACTTGATTTTAACGATGAGAGAAAATTTGATTATTCTCATTAAATTTAAAAAAGAAAACAATTTAATCATTATAAATATAAATTATTTGTGAATATAAATAATTTATAATTTATTTAAAACATAAATATAGTAAATATATTATTTTCACATTTAAAATCTTTATTATTTTATATTATTATTTTATCTTGTTTTTTGTGTAATATATATATGAGTATGTCATTTTTCCTGCCAGTGAAGATAAATTTATCTCTAATAACCCAAAAACTATGTCATTTTCAGGGTTTGGGTAATTAATGAAAAATATTTTGATAAAATTCATATAACAAATGGAGAAGGATATTGTGACAACTAAGTTGTGTTACTACCAATCAATCTCACCGTTAGATCGATTTAGTTTGATCCAACGGTTATATTTATTTCCATCTTTGTATGGTCATGATTCCCCAAATTTAATACTTTATATTTATTTTCACCTTTGTACGGTTATGATTTTTCATATTTAATGCTTTGACTTTAAATTTGGAGAATCATGACCATACAAAGATGAAAATAAATATAACCTTTAGATCAACATAATCGATCTAACGGTGAGATTGATTGGTAGTCACTTGGTAGTAACACAACTTAGTTGTCACAATATCCTTCCCCATAACAAATAAAAAAATAAAATTTCTAAAATATTCTTCATTAATTCTCTTAACCTCAAAACGACGTAGTTTGAAGTTTATAGAGATAACTTTATCTAGGGGTGTAAATGGACTAGGCCGGCCTACAGAGACCTAGGACCTAACCTATATTAGGCCAGACTTGGCTTATATAAGATAGGTCTAGGCTTTTTGAAAAACCTATTTAGAAAATAGGCCATAGACTTTTTTTTGTACATGTCGGACCTATAAGTCTACAAACCGGCCTATATCATAGTATTTATTTTAAATGAAATAAATAAAATTATTATTTTAATAATTTTGAATAATAAAATAATATTATTTTAGTTATTCTTTTAATTGTTAAATCTTTAATAGGCTTAAACAAGCCTAGACCAATGCTTTTATTTTTTAAATATAGATCAGACTAGATTTATAATTTAGGGCCTACATAGGCTAACAGGTCAGACCAGACCCAATATTTTTTACACAGATTTGACCTATTTAAGGCAAAATCTAGCTTATTTACACCCCTAACTTTATCTTTTGTTAGGAAAAATATTTTTTCCTATATATATATGTTAAATATTTAACTCTATTAAATGTATAAATTAATAATTCAAAATTAATAACCAATAACAAATAGTATTAGTATTTAAATTAAATTTTATCTTTTCTTTAAAACAGAACATAAATATTTTCTTCTTTCCTTAAAAGAGTAAAAGCATATATGACTAAAATGTCAATGGATTTAATTTATATTTTTTTAAAATATTTTTTCAAAAATGTAAAAATTAGCAATTATTTATTAAGTATTTATTATTATTAGAGTAAAAGTATGAATCATATATATTGATTTTACATTATTCTGACCAGTATATTGGATCCCACACTAAACCCAATTTTTTGGATCCCACCTTAATTTCTTCATGATGCATAATTGTATATGGTTATTTTAACAAAGGAACTTTTTTAGAAGATATACCCATGATCAACTGTTATAACAATACTTTTCACTTTTTCTGCTATAATGATTAGTTTTCAACCTAAAGTATATATCTAATATAATTAGAAATTCTATATCTGATATCTTATTAACTACGTTGGAGTCCTATGTATGTATATCTTCATTATGTTAAGTTAAACTAAACTCCGTCAACGACCGCCATGCAAAAAAATCCAAAAAAACGAATTCACATCGGATAATTACATTGAATACATACAAATTATATTTTATATTAGTCAAAGTTATCATTCATGAGAATATGCTTTGAAATATCTTATATTATATTCTTTTCCTTTTTATCCATTATTTATATCTTAACCAATTCTCCACTGCCAACTCCTTCCGGCCCAAGATTTAAATAAATAAATAACTAAGAATGAAGGGACTCATTTTGTCCCAGTAGTTGTAGCCTGGGACATCGATCGAACGGTTATTGTTTGACAAATTTTTTATTTAAATATCATGCAAATATTATTATTTATCAAACTACCACGTGACATAATTTATTATGACTGGTGCCGAATTACGTTCGTCAATAATTTTGTGATATGTAACATGTTTTAGCAGAAAAAAGTTGATTAGACAAAGTTCATTACTAGTGATAGAAAATTTAATATATAATGTAGCCACGTATCATGAAATCATAGGCGAACGTAATTCACTACCAATCGTACTGAATTACGTCATGTGACAGTCTGATAAAAAATACTATTTACATGATATTTTGAATAAAAAATTTGTCAAATAATGATACTTTGATCACTATTCCTTGTAGCCTTGTAGGCACCAAATGACAATGATGGCCATTGGTTCATTCATCAAACCAACTTGCATTAATTGGTGCACCCATGAACTCACGTGGAATAGTAGTGGATAGGTATAACCTACAACTCTCAAAATTGGTGCTCCCTTATTTCAACGGCTGCTAGCCAGTTTTGCTTATCAATTAAGAATTGGGTGGGCTGAGAGTGAATCTTTTATATTAAAATTTGACATAATCTAAATCTAGGGGTGTAAATGGGTCAGGCAGGCCCAGTCCAGCCTATGGCCCAGCCTACATTGAGTCCGGTTCATGCTCGACTTTTCAGAAAAGTAGAATAGGCTTAGCCTTATAAAAAAGCTTTTTTAACAAATAGGTCATAGGCCAATTTTGTCAAGCCCGGCCTACAGCCTTGTAGGCTGGCCTATTTAATTTATTAAAATAAAATAATAAAATAATATTTATTTTATGTGGCAAAGACGCAAAGTACCAAATACCAATATCTCTTACTTTTTGTGCTATTTTATTTTATGAAAGGAAAACTTGTCTAATGTCTCCAAATTTTACATGCTGTTGCAGCTTAATACCATGGAGTAATGAGTACCTTGCTGGATTATGATGTTACTGATGAAGATCTTTCAATAATACTCTTCTTTTCCTTGTCTTGATGGTGGTTTAAAGATTTTTAGATAAATGACATTCTCTTGTAGAATTTATTTCAGCATCCGGTAATTGTATTTTTCTTATTTTTTTCATTTCTTTGACTCTATTCCTCTATGATATACATTCTAGAGCTGGGGGTATTATGTTGACTCTTTCTTGTTTGTCATTTTTTTCTTATGAGAAGTACTAGTGCATGCATGAATAAAACTTTCTTTGCTCTATACAATTATTTTTTTTGCTTAGTATCTATAGTGGGAGGCCTACAAGGCCTGTAGGCCATGTCAGACTTTCTTATTTTTAAAAATGGGTCGGGCTTGGCCTATAAATAAAGCCTTTAATAGGTCAGTAGGCCAGATACGCTGAATTTTTTTTGACGTAGGCTTGGGCCAAAAAGGCCAAAGCCCAGCCTAGCCCAGCCCATTTACACCCCTATCTAAATCTAAACATTTTTTTTACATAATTTGATTATGTAAAAAATTTTGTATTTTTTTTCTTCATATACATTAAATAAATAGTCTCTAATTATTATTAATAAAAAAAGATAAATAAAAAATTTTCTCATGACGAAGTCATATAAAATTTTAACATTTATGAGTTAGTATATGCCAAATTAATTAGGCCTGTTCATACACAGCACATTTGTGTGTGTCACAAAGGGTGAAATGAAATATGAATGAATGGATGGATGGATAGATAGTGATAGGGTAACTGTGGGAAAGCACACACGGCATAATCACATACCCTTAGATTTAAATAGGGGTCGGTTTTGGCATTAAATGTAGCTACCAACAACTAGCTACACCCATTAATTGCTACATATAATGGCTGAAATTAAAACTTCATGCTCTGAACCTCATCTTGTTCTCTAAATTTCCTTCGAGAATTGAGCTCCCCCAAACAAATGAGTAGAAAGATGTGTTCCTGTGGTCACCCCTTATACCATTGATCAGAAACATGATCTCTTTGCTCCACTGGCTTCCTCTTTTTCATGCCAAATCTAAACCCTTGTACAGTTTTATCTACAAAACTCTAGGCTCTTTTTGCATGGTATATCTCTCTTAAACCCCCTTCACCCTTCAATCATCATCTTACCTTCAGTCAAAACTCCTCAACACACTTCCCAATCACACGTTTCCCATTTTCGTTCACACTTTTCTTTCCTCCTCTTTTCTTTCTATAACTTCCTCATACTCTTCCTTTTTTTCTACCCCTTTATATGCTCTTTTTTCTCCAAAATTCTATACCAAGAAACCCTTTGGACCATATTGTATTGAAGCCTAAAAGTTGAGATATTTTGAAGAGAGAGGGAGATAGATAGAAAGAGATGAGAAACACTGAAGCAACTCAAGTGGCTATGGAGATAGAAGCAAGTAAACCTGCAGGGAATGGAACAACTTTACCAGGGTTGAGTCCTCTGAGTGAGACCCTTTGGAGAGAGAAGACACACGCAGAGTTGATTGGTGATGTCTCAGCAAGGCTCACATGGAAGGATCTAACTGTGATGGTTACTCTTAGCAATGGAGAAACTCAAAATGTTTTGGAGGGTCTAACTGGGTATGCTGAACCTGGAACTTTCACAGCTCTAATGGGTCCTTCAGGTTCAGGAAAATCCACTCTTCTTGATGCTCTTTCAAGTCGCCTTGCTGCAAATGCCTTCCTCTCAGGCACTATCCTCCTCAATGGTCGCAAAGCCAAGCTCTCTTTTGGTACTGCTGTGAGTATTTCTCTTGTAATAACTAGTTTCTTTTCTTTCTCATATTTCTCATATATAAGTGTGTCTTTGTTTCATTCATAGAAAGTTTGTTACTCCCTTTATCATCTTTGTTTCCTTTAGGTTTTGTTTGGCTTTGAACTTTTGAGAATAACTTTTGTTGGTTACATACCTAACACCAATAAACTTAGGTTTTTTTAGAATTTTTCTATATATATAATATAAAGTAATATACATATATTCACTTAATAATTTAAACTTTCGAGTTTTCAAGGAATCTTTTTAGAAGTCGATCCTTACCATCCTTTTTTTTAATAAAAAATAAATACAAGTAAAAAGTGATATAAAAAATAAAAAAATAAGCATGTATTATCCATGCTTCAAAACCCATTTAAGATCTCAACTTGAGAGGATATGTTAAGAAATAATATAAAACAATATATACATGTTCACCTAAAAACTTTAAGTTTTTAAATTTGCTGGATTAAATTGTTTCTTTTCATTTATGTTTTAAGGTTATTATTCCTAACTTTTGTGTATTCAAACTTAGGCTTATGTGACACAAGATGACACCTTGATTGGTACCTTAACAGTAAGAGAAACGATATCGTATTCAGCTCGTCTACGTTTGCCAGATAAGATGTCATGGTCAGATAAGAGAGCTCTGGTTGAGAGTACAATTGTAGAAATGGGTCTTCAAGATTGTGCTGACACAGTTATTGGAAACTGGCACTTGCGTGGGATCAGTGGTGGGGAGAAGAGAAGGGTTAGCATTGCCTTGGAAATCTTGATGAGGCCTAGATTACTTTTCCTTGATGAACCAACCAGTGGTCTTGACAGGTTGTTACACATTATTTCATGTGCATTTATTGTCCTTGTCCATGTGTTTGCATCAATATAGTGATTCCACTTAAATTTGGATTTAACTACCAAATATATATTTAATTGTGCAGTTGGTGATGGATATTTAATTTCCAAAAAATAAAATAAAAAACTTAGTGTTGTACATTCAATCTTCCATAACTTCGACTTTTCCTATTATTTTATGGGTTTTTGATAACTTGACATATATATGCTAAAAAAATAAACAAAATTATTAAGTAAATGTCAAGGCACTACAGAGTAAAAAATAATCGTATTAGAAATATTTAGACTTATATGATAAGTTAAATTCATTGAATGATGTGTTAATGTATTGTAAATGATTGTGTAATTTTTTTATATTTAAAATTAGCAATATGTTAAATGTACAATTTTAATAAAGTAAAAGTATTTAATAATAAAATATAATAAAGAATAATAAATATGTTTTAACTATGTCCTAAGACACACACTTAAACAAATTATTCGAAGAAGCAGTTAAATCAATTAGTCATTGATATATGCTTGTGTCTTAGGTGTTTCAATTAGCTTATTTTTTCAAAATTAAATTTTCTATATTTGCAGAAAAGAAAAACGTGGATGCAATAAATAATGGGCCATATATATGTACTATCATTATCTATTTTTTCTGAGTTCATGATTATCTGTATCTTATAAGTTCTTATTAATCTCCATAAAATAAAACAGTACTATCAACAAAATATATATGTAACGCTTCAATGATTTCCTTTTTGAAAAAAAATAAAAAATAAAAAACATAGAATTTATGTCTTGATCTTCTTGTTGTTTTACATAGCCATTACACTAATTCATGTGCAATTCTAAGGGAGGTTAACAATATTTAATTAAATAATCAGATTTAATAGATAATGAATCATCTATGGTTTCTGATGTGTCCAATTGATCAAAACTTGTAGAGTAGAAATATCTCATTTTTTTTTTTTCTGGAATTTTGTTTCTGTGGCAGTGCTTCGGCTTTCTTTGTGACTCAGACACTACGTGCCTTAGCAAGGGATGGGAGAACAGTGATTGCTTCTATTCATCAACCTAGCAGTGAAGTGTTTGAACTATTTGACCAATTGTACTTGCTTTCTGGAGGCAAAACTGTTTATTTTGGCCAAGCTTCAGAAGCATATGAGGCAATATATAAGCCCACTTCACACTTTTCCTCTTTTTGCAAAATTTCTTAAATGTTTTATGATTGTGAATAAATGAAGCTTTTTTGTGATTATTGTAAATGATGTTGTATGCAGTTCTTTGCACAAGCTGGCTTTCCATGCCCTGCTTTGAGGAACCCCTCTGATCATTTCCTTAGGTGCATCAATTCTGACTTTGACAAAGTCAAGTCCACTCTTAAAGGGTCCATGAAACTGAGGGTATTAACCACTTCTGCTTTATGACTCTCTCAATTTTGTTTTTGAATTTTACATTACTATTTAATTAGTGATTATTTACTTGCCCATTTCTCACCTAAAGAATGTACCTTTTATTTTTTATTAAATTTTTGAAATGTTATCTATTTTAAAAGAATGTTTTTGCAAAAGAAAAACAAAAGTAGCTGACAAATGCCACTTTAACCCAAATGATTCTCAAGAAGTGCATTTATACTCATGTTTATAATAACTACATATGCCTTTGCTAATATTCACTTTGAACCTTACTCTTTCAGTTTGAGGGTAGTGATGATCCTCTAGACAAGATCACTACTGCTGAAGCTATCAGAACTCTTTTTGACTACTTCCGCACTTCTCAGCACTCTTATGTTGCAAGACAAAAAGTGGATGAGATATCCAAAGTTGTAAGTTTCTTTTCAGAGGTTACTTATGGATGAAAAAAATTAACCAAACTTAGCAATGATGCAATTGAGTATCCTCCTTTTCTTGTTAACTTTGTTGAGTCAATTCTCAAATATTCTGCAGAAGGGAACAGTGCTTGATGCAGGAGGAAGCCAGGCTAGTTTCTTCATGCAGTCTTTCACCTTAACCAAGCGTTCATTCATCAACATGTCAAGGGATTTTGGCTACTATTGGCTTAGACTTGTAATCTACATTGTAGTCACTATCTGCATTGGAACCATTTACTTGAACGTGGGAACTGGCTACAACTCAATTCTGGTACTTCTATTTATGACATGAGAGCAATTCAAAATTGTATGCCACTATAATCAATTCAGATAATTAGTACAATTTCTTTGAGTTCATGTGTTTCCTTTCTTTGCAGGCTAGGGGTTCATGTGCATCTTTTGTCTTTGGTTTTGTCACCTTCATGTCAATTGGTGGATTCCCTTCATTTGTTGAAGACATGAAGGTAAAAGTTTTATTACCTATGTCACCTTTAGTCACCAGTGTTATACTCAATATAATGTCATAATCTGATTATTAATTATCTCTTTCAATTACAGGTTTTCCAAAGGGAGAGGCTTAATGGACACTATGGTGTTACTGCATTTGTCATCAGCAACACATTATCTGCAACGCCATTCCTGATATTGATCACCTTTCTCTCTGGAACAATTTGTTACTTCATGGTTCGCCTACATCCTGGCTTTTGGCATTACTTTTTCTTTGTGTTGTGTCTTTATGCCAGTGTCACAGTGGTTGAAAGCTTAATGATGGCAATTGCTAGTATTGTCCCTAACTTCCTCATGGGAATCATAATTGGAGCAGGGATTCAGGTATACATCTTCCCATGATCTTAGCACATGTACAATAAATCACATCTAAACAAAACAATGCTCTTCCAAAACTCGATCTTTTTGCTTCATTTTATAAAGTTCTAGTTTTCTTTAACATTAAAGTAAATCTACTAAATGACAGCTTGCTAATTACATACCATGTTGCCTAATTAGTCAAAACTCTTAGCTTTGCTCAATAATTTGTTGAAGAATCCACTTAATTATACCTCGTTAATTGATTTTTGTTTTGTATCTTTAAAATATCAGGGCATATTCATGTTGGTCTCTGGCTACTTTAGGCTCCCACATGATATACCAAAGCCAGTATGGCGCTACCCAATGTCATATATCAGTTTCCACTTCTGGGCATTACAGGTAAGAGAACTGGCACAGGTCAATTGTTGAAAGGAGTGTGATGCTACTATGTCAGGAACCAACTTTTTCAAAAGTTTAAGTTATAGATTGAATGCAAATGAATGATTTTATTATATCTCTAACATATTTATATTATATCACCAAAGCCACTCCCCTTTAAATCTTGATTATTGAGGGCGGGGTGAGGGCAATCCTTATATATAGTCTTACTCTTGCACAATTCTAAGGAGACTATTTCTCAGATTTAAAACTATAATCTTTCGGTTACAAAGAAACAATTTTACCATTGGTCCAAATCTGTCTTCATTATTTATATTATATCACATGAATGATTTTATTATATTTATATTATATCTAACAATTGGAGTATAGTTTGATGATGAAAACAATGAAAATTCTTTCAGGGACAATACCAGAATGACTTGAAGGGCTTGATATTTGACAACCAGACACCAGATCTTCCAAAGATACCGGGTGAATACATTCTGGAGAATGTGTTCCAGATTGATGTCACCAGATCAAAGTGGATTGATTTAAGTGTAATCTTGAGCATGATTGTCATCTACCGCATCATTTTCTTCATCATGATCAAAATCAATGAGGATGTGACCCCATGGGTTAGAGGGTATTTAGCCAGGAGAAGAATGCAGCAGAAGAGTGGAACCCAGAATACAACCATTGCACCTGATGTTCTCACTCAGTCCCCATCTCTGAGAACCTACGTTTCCACCCAAACAAAAAATGGTACTTCCAAAAGTTGAAGGGTGGAGAATGTTGGGCTTTCAAAGAACAGAAGTTAAAGTCCTCAAAAGTTTGAATGAACAATGAAGCTTTCATTATTAAGTAGGATTAGCTATATATATAACTTCAAATTCTTATCATTTGTATACATCCTTAGTCTTTTTAACAATGTTGACATCCTCTTAGCTTTCTCAGTTGAGAAGAGGGTGAAGAGCTATATGAAATTCTGTGAGTGTTTATTATTAAGTCATCAAAGTCTTATGTTTGAAAATTTTCTGACCCAATCCGGCAATCCGCATTATACATTTCATTGTCCTCCAAAATATTACTTTGGTTTTGATGTTAAGGCAACTTTGGAGTTCAATTAGTTCTAAAAGAAAAATTACTTTATAGGAGTCCCGATATAAAAAATGAGTCGTGTTGAGTCATCGTTGTTGTAATTTATTTATGTGATTAATATTTTAATAGATAATTTAATCTCCTAAACATATATAAAAATGTGTGAAAATCATGTGAAGAAAAGAAAATAAATAAATAAGAGAAATAATTATCTCATGTTGTATGAGATAATTATCTCATGCAACAGAGACAAAATAGTGGGGTTCACTATTTTTTTTTTTTTTGAAAAAGTAGTGGACCTCATAATTTTATCTCTGTTGCATGAGATAATTATCTCATGTAATATAAGATTAATAGATCCCAATAAATAAATATGAGTATCACATACTATTTTTGAGGCGAGTCGGTCCCTTTTTTTGCCCCTCTCCAAACAAGTATACATTAGTAGGGGTGTATATGGTAGGGGTGGCAAAAATGAGCCAACCCGTCGGGTTGGCTCGTAACCCGCATAAAACGAGCCGGGTTGGGTTGGCAAAAATGAGCTGCCAGCTCGATTTAGCCCGACCCGAGCCAACCCGAGCTCAAACGAGCCAGCTCGCGGGTTGAACGAGCCAGCTCGCGGGTTAATCTTTTTTTTTTTTTTAATAAAATACAATGGACTTTACTGATGGATTCTTCACTGATGGACTTTACTATATTGGTCGCTTTTGCAGGTCCTTTTTTTCATGATTGGCTTTTGATTCTAGATGCTTATCGTTGAAATATATAATGGATTTCTTTTATTTTTTACTTTTTGGCTTTATATATGTTTTATGGTTATCGTGAGTTAGAGTAATTCAGAAAATCATGATAAGATTCTCGCTGAATGCATTCTTGGGGAGGGGGCTGAACCTTTAGCCATCACTGTTCCCCCACACTCCGGATTAGTCCCATAGCCGGCTCAAAGAGTCGAAGCTCGTGGGGATACCGGAGGGAGCCAACTCGTCTCAAAGAGATAATTAGGGTTGGGTAACTCCAAAAAAAAAATCATGATAACTGACTCCTGTGATTCGTGGAGTGGTTTGTGTTTCATTTAATGTTTTTGGATTTTGTAAACTACTCTACTTGTAGTTGGACTGCAAAATACAATAATTTTATACAGGAGAACAAACCACAAAAATTAAATTTTTTGAGCCAACCCGCGAGCCAACCCACTAGCATCATTTCGAGCTAACTCGCGAACTTTTTTTGAGCCAACCCGTGAGCTGATTATCGAGCCAACCCGCGAGCCAACCCTAACCCGGCTCAGGTCGAGCCGGGTTGAGTTTTCTGGCTCGTTTTTTTTTCGAGCCAACCCGACCCGACCCATTTTTTTCGGGCTGAATGCGGGTTGGGCCGGGTCGAGCCGGGTTGGCCCGTTTTGCCAACCCTAGTATATGGGCAGGATTAGGCTAGACTTTGACTTAAATGGGCTAGATATTGAGTATGACCTGACCTATTAGTCTGTGCAAGTCTCAAATTAGAAGTCTGACCTGATCTATATTTAAAAAATAAAAGATTTGGCCTAGGCTTGTTAGTCTGTTTAAGCCTATTAAACATTCAACAATTAAAAAAATAACTAAAATAATATTATTTTATTATTAAAATAATAATTTTATTTATTATTTTTTAAATAAATAATATGATATAAGCCGGCCTGTAGGCTTATAGGCCCGACATGTACAAAAAAGTCTATGGATTATTTTTTAAATAGATTTTTTTGAAAGTCTAGGCTTATTATATTTTACAATTTATAATAGGCCAAACCTGACCTAATATAAGCTAGGACATAGACCCATGTAAACCGGCCTAGCCTATTTACACTCCTATACATTAGTCCCTTTATTAATATGTTAAACGATTTGACCACTACGGTGCAATTTGTTCGTATGTCTTTATATCATAAGACTATATTTTGTTATTCGCTAATTTTTGTCATTACTCAATCAAATTAAGTTAATTTTATCCCATAATAAGCAAATACAATGACACATAATTACACAAGTATCCAAAAATAATAAACAATAAATCTCAATATTTTCAAACAAGGTAAAATAAAGATAATTCACGGATTAAAATATTTAAAAATATCATAAAATTCAAATAATAATTTACAGATTTAGTTTGACTTGGTTTTTTCTACTAATTTCACAAATGTAATAAATATTTTAAAATAATATATTTCTCATGTTGTAGAAAATAATTTTATCACCTACACGGCTACACACATAAAAATGTGTGGAGTTCATATTTTCATATTTTCTCTTTTCTCCTTGCATGGACCCCATACACTTTTATGTCTGTGTAAGAGATAAATTATATCCTACAACATGAGAAACATTAATTCTTAAATTAATTAATTACAAATAAAGCATTGTTGAAATCAAATCACATAACATGTAAATTAGCTTAACAATATAAAAAATTAATAATCAAAACAACAAACTAAGTTACATGTTATGTGATTTGATTTCAACAATGCTTTATTAAAAAATTAATAATCAAAACAACAAACTAAGTCAAATAAAAAAATATTAATTAAACCAGCTCAACAACAATGTAAAGTTTTTAAATTTTCATTTTTATTATTTTTAATATATATATATATATCTTTTTGTATTTTTGCATTGTTAACTTAAAAAACAAATGCTAACCCATTAAAAGAAAATCTCAACCCTCTAATTACCTGAAAAAGAAATCTAAAACTCAAATATAGCTAAATACTCGGGCCGAATTTGAATAATAATAACAAAACTAAACCCAGCAAAAAGCTTTACTAGCCTAATCCAACTGGTTCAAGCCCGCCAGAAATTGAACCAAAAGCTTATTCCTATAGCCCAAATTATCTATGCCTCTTCGCTTTCTCTCTGAACTTCTTCAATCCAAGTTCTCTTACACTTTTTTCTGTAAAACTCCCTTCGCACGTCATTTTCCCTTTTCTTATGAGCAATTATTCCTGAACGTTCTCCGAGCTAAATGTGCGTGATAATATTTCAATTTTTTTTTTGATTTTTAGTATGAAGAATAAAAATAGTTAGAAATTATGTATAATAGTTTATTTTTCTATTAAAGAAAATACACCGGTAACTTGGATAAATTTTTTTTTTTTTTTTTTTTGTTCTTTCCCGGACAAATTATTGATTAAATGCTCATATCATAGAATATATTATCAGAATTTAAAATTTAGAATAAAAATATTTTTCTCTATAGTGAAATAAACTGAACTTAGTTAATATTGGATAAATCAAGTAAATTTGTGTCACCATTCTTTCTTCCCTTTTCTCTATCTCTATTCTCTTTTGCAATTGTGTGTGTGGTTATTTGATCCCGTCAAAGTTGAGAAATTCAGTCACATCATTATTGTCAAGGATGCTGGGTTTGGCATCATCTACTAATTAATACAGCATTGCCCACCATCTGTATAGTTTTCCATACTTGGATATATATATATATATATATATATATATATATATATATATATATATATATATATATATATATATATATATATATATATATATATAGCTGTGTTAACTGCATTTTCAACATCATTTTCTTTTGATACATCACAATTAGTGAACATAGGATGCTAATTCAGTTCCAATTCTATCTTGTACTCTTCACCTAATTGATCTCGAATGTCTGCAATCACCATCTTTGCCTCATGTTTGCAGATGAGCCTTGCCATGCACTCACCAAGGCCCCCTAGCTAGCCCCACCGGTGATCATAGCCATGTTTCCTTGTAGTCTTCATAAAATTGTACATAACAATTCAAAAACAAAAATACCTGCAATTGCATGTCGCTTGATTGAAAATTTCACTTTTTTATAGTTTCCCTTCAAAAAGAATTTTGGGTGGGCCAAAATTGATCGCAAAAATAATTAACAAATCAATTTTGTTATGTAAGTAGTGTTTTGTGTTTTGTTATGTCATGAGCGTGGTATCAGTCTAAATTTCTTATGCTCTCACTAATCACTCTCGTAAATACGGCGGGTATTTTTTTTTTCTTCTTACATTTTTTTTCTTGGTTAATTATCGAGTATAGTGCTATTACGGGTGTTCGTGGCATGGATTGAATCAGTTTTAGAAGTAAAAATTATCTGATCGAATCTCTTCGGTTTCATCATGTAATCATTTATTCAGTTTGGATTTTTTTTCAAATCCGATCCGATCCAGACCAAATTTATTCGGTTTGGATTGGATCGATTTTTGATTTTTTGAAAAGCCTAAAATTTGTATGATGACTATTGTGCAAATAACATATCTTTTGTATGTATTGACTTTGTAAAGTTTGTATGATGATTATTGTACAATCTAGAAGCATCTGTAAACAATAATCTAGTTTTCAATATAGTACAACAAAAAATTGAAACTGGGTAAACTCGGTTTCAAGTATCTATCACGAGATGGATAAGAAGGAAAATTAGACAATAACAAAGTAAGAAAAATTAATCTCAATTACTCATACAGATAAATCTTAAAACAGTTTTTTATTTTAAATTTGGGCACATAAATTTTATAGTAATATCACATTCACGTGAAAATTACAAAACTAAATAAAAATAAATCCTTAACTCAATTCAAATGAATGCTATATTTATGTAGCAAAAAATTCATACTTTTGTAGTATCCTATCCAAAAGTTGAAATCACAACAACAGATAATAATGGAAACTTGCTAAAATGTACCAATAAAAATACATTTGGTGTAAAATGAAGTTATATTTATTTCTTTCTTAAAACTTAAAAAGTTAAACAAAAATGCATTAACGACATGGAGAAACTAATATAGCAGCAGAAATGTAGAATTGAAAAAATAACAGTTAAACCATTTGATTCATATTATGAAAAACATAAAAGCATTATCAACAACAATTAGGCATTAAGGTAGAGGGGAATTAATACCACTTGGGTTTAGCTGATGGGTTAAAGGGTCTTGGATTTAAAATTTTTTGGGCTATGATTAGGAAATAGATCCAA